TAAAGAAAGATAAAATAAATATTTATTTGTTTACACTTTTAAAAATATATATTTTATTGATTTCAGAGAGGAAATGAGAGGAACAGAGATATACAAACATCAATGATGAGAGAAAATTATTGATCTTCTGCCTCCTGCATGCCCCACACTGGGGATAAAGCCTTCAACCCAGTCATGTGCCCTTATCTGGAATCCAACCAAGACCCTCTGGTTCATAAATCAACACTCAACCCCTGAGCCATACTGCCTGGGTAGCAAAGATTTATTAATTCTATGGAATGCATGCAAATATGAAAGCAACTTGAATCTGTGTTATAAGATTATTATCCCTATAACCATAAAATGTTTCTAATATTGCTAACAACATTTATATCATAGGAGAAAAATGCATGTAAATATTGCTATTATGCTTAACATGGACTAAAAACAGGTGTAGAGAGTTTGATGAGAAAAAAATGTAAATGAAAAATTCAATACATCTTAACATGCCTTGTTATCACGTTACTGTTAAATTAAATTTATCACATTAAATAATTAACTCTAGTTAATAGGTAATATGTAATGAGTACCTAGTCACAAAACTTAATAACATTCTAATTGTAATCAAACATACTATGTAATCAGTGCTTATTGCATTAAAACACATATCACACCCCTGTTATTGCTTTTGTTTTATAAATTAGAACGTTAGTTCAACTTCTGCTTCTTAGTAAGGGTAATGCCTTTGAAATGTTGAAAATGAACTGGCAGGAAGCCAAGGACTCTGGTGTAAATGAATTACAAAAGAGGTTTGAATTTAAAAAAATAAAAAGGTTTAATATCCTAAATACCTTAATTTTAGTGCTATTACAGTAAATGTGGTAGGTATCAAATTGTAAATGGCTTGATTCTTTCCCACTCATTCTTGGCAATATTATATTGTAGATGTTTGAATTGGGCAGTAAAGGCTATTCTACTAAGATTTTCTTGTGTGAAATTGTGTAATGTCTTCATAATTTTCATAGTTTCTATAGTGCTTTGATTTAAAGATCTAGAATAAAAATATTCTTACCACTTCTAAAATCAAATTTTTATTTAAAACAACATCTCATGACATTTCATGTAAGATACTGAAAGTTTTAATACAATGGATTATAAATTTGTTGCTAAATAAAGTATCCTATCTTATCACAGGTTTTAATTATCAAGAAATAAGCTTATTAGTTAGTCAATACTAATCATAGCTATGAAGTTGCAAGAGCCAACCCAAATTTCTACTAATCTTCATTTGAGAAAAATATAAGACTTATTACAAACTAGAGGCCTGGTGCATGAAATTCATTCATGGGGGTGTGTATGTCCCTCAGCTCAGTATGTACCCTCTGCAATCTGGGATCCCTCTCATAATCCATGACTGCTGGCTCCCAACTGCTCACATACCTGATTGTCTGATTTCTCCTCATTGCTTCTGCCTGCCAGTCTGATCACCCCTAACCACTCCCCTGCTACCTAATCGATGCCTAACTGGCCTGGTCACTCCCAAGTACCCTCCCCTGATGCCCTGGTAACCTGTAACTGCACTCCCTTGCCAGCCTGGATGCCCCACCACTGCCCTCCTTTGCAGGCCTCGTCCCTCCCAACTGCCCTCCCCTGTAGGCCTGGTCACTCTCAACTGCCCTCCTCTGCAGGCCTACTTGCCCCTAACTACCCTCCCCTACAGGCCTGGTTGCCCCTAACTACCCTTCCCGGCAGGTCTGGTTGCCCCTAACTGCTTTCTTGCAGGCCTGATCACCCCCAACTGTCCTCCTCTGCATGCTTGGTTGCCCCTAACTGTCCTCCTTTGCAGGCCTGATTTCCCCCAATTGCCTTCCCTTGAAGGCTTTGTCCCTCTCAACTGCCCTCCCCTGCTAGCCATCTTGTGGTAGCCATCTTGTGTCCACATGGGGATAGCCATCTTGGTTGTTGGAGTGATGGTCAATTTGCATATTACCTCTTTATTATATAGGATAGCAGTATTATTCACAACAACAACAACAAACTGTTCAAACTAATATAATTTCACTAATTTATAAGAAAGATAACTGAAGAGTAGAGCAGGCTAAATTTTAAATTATAACTCTAATTAGATATTCAAATGATTATTTAACCCTAAACTCCCAAATAGAACTAACTTTAGACAAATGATAGCAGTATGACATTTTCTATATTTATACCACATTAAATATAATTTGAACTTTGGCAATGAATATAATCAAAATAAATAATTATATTACTTTGTACTTAAGTATAAAGTCTTCTTTCATTAACATATTTATATGATTTCTAAGTAGGTTTTACCACATTATATTCTTCTACTATTAATGTTTTATCTGATTCAATTTTAATAAACTATAGTAGTACCAAGAAAACAATAACTTCAAATATATATAATAGATAATTTGGGCAAATTAATATCATGCTAAAGCTAAATTTTATTCTTAAATGTAGTATTAGGATGGAATAGTGAACTAGACTAGCATAACTTAGCATTGTCCTTGATTTCATTAGTAAATTTAATTGTGAAAAATAGAGAATTCTAATTGACATATATGAAGAAATATTATAGGAACCTAGACAAATAAAAGAGGAAGCTAGACTTCTACAGACTCACATATAATTTGTAATGGATATTTAAAAGATATTCATCACGGTGGAAAAACAAGAGAAGACAGCTTAAATAGAGCATTCATATATAGGTTAGATCCACAAGAGAACTCCTTTTATTTGGAGATTTAAACAAAAGAGAAGAAAGAAAAAACATGTTAATAGAATAAAAGATTCAATTTTGATTATATATTTATTAATAATCAAATATAAAACACTTTATTTTGCTTTACTGAAATTCAGTCTATATTTGTAGAACTAACCCTTTATAAGTAAAAGCTCTGACATCTAACTGTGAACCTCAATTAAAGCTAGCGTATTCCGCAATTCAAAATTGAAATTATTTCCATATGTAGAACTTATTACACTTTGTAGGGATATTTAGGTTGGTGCAAAAATAAAAATGTAAAATCAAATAAAATTGACTATATAAAAGATTGATAACCTGAAGGAGAAAAAAAAACACACAAAAAAAACATCAACTTCTATTAGGACTTTTCAATTTAAACAATCTTTTGATCAGTGTGATGACTCAAAAAACAAAAAAAAAAATGAATTCTGAAAATAACAAGGGGAAGAAATAAATGAAAAACTACTGAAAACGAAAACTAAGACAATTATGTTCTTGTCTCCAAGAAATATAAGGACACCAAGTATTTTTATGGTTTAAAGTTGCATTAAAATATAGCATTGTGTATGAGGCAGGCTCTTGTTGAGGAGCTTCAAAGTGATTCTGGAGCTAACATTTTCCCCTAAGTACAGAGGTATCTTGGAAATAATCCAGTACAGGTTGAATAGTGTAGAGATAATTCCAGAGAGGAATTGAAAAGGAGATTCCATGATTCTGTGTACATAACCACAGAAACCCAGTTTAAGGACAGGATACAAACTTGAGTAGCAAAGAATTTAGGAGTCAACTGAGATTTGAATCACTGCTTACAGGAGGCAACACAGAACTTAGGGGTGATTACCTGCTTAAAAACATCTTTTCCAGATGGTGTCAAATTACCCAGAGTCTGCACAACACAGTATTTACAGTTCAGGACAGAATTCAATAATTCTTGCTATTTAATGAGTCTGGAGAATAAGACCAATTCTAATGGGAAAGAGTAACCACCTTATATACATTCCAACATGGCATGAGTATTTCACCTTAAGAATTTACAAACAAAGAGAAAAGCAAATCTAAACTATATAGAACAGTTGAAATAATAAAGATAAAATCAAAATCTGAAAACTAGAAAAATATATATATAATGGGAAGTATAATTAGTGAAGGGAAAACCTAAAGCTTTGCAAAGATCAACGATATCTGTAAAGCCGTAGCTATAAAAGACTTTTCAATAAGTGCTGCTGAATGATTCATGTGTATATATGGAAATATAATATATACTGACTCTACAGAAATGCACTCCAAATGAATCATTGACCTTAATGTAAAATCCAAATCATCAAAACATTAAAAGGAAAGCTTAGACATAAATTGTTTAATTGGTCTTTCCATTAATTTCTAGACAAGCGGTTTATAAATATCTAAAATAATATAGATTTGTTTGCATCTATTCTTGGGGAAATATTTGTTTTCTAGAGTTCTCAATTAGAAAATGCATCTTGTTTCACAATTACTATTATATTATATCAATATTAATGAAAATAGAAATTATGTAGTAGAAACATTTTGTCCATAGGAGTACGTATCTTACATATTTCCACCAAGACAGCTATTTTCTTTCAAGTATCAGAGAACCTACAACACTGATGATTCTGGAATATTTAAAGATTGGTTGTGTAGCCATCATTAACATTAGCCTTCACACTTTCCAAATATAAGTTATACATTTTTATAATTATTTAATAACTCTCTTTGTCACAGTCCCTACTTTCAGACTATAAACACGATTTTGATAAAAATGTAAGTACTGTTATATTCAATCACTAAAAAATACTATACCATATCTTATGAGCATGTAAAATAATTCAACAAAACAGCTTAAATAAGAAATAAAAACTCTCACTTCCTCTGTGAGGCACAGGGCTGTTAATGTTATAATAAACATAGAATCTAAGGAAAAGTTGACCTATCACCAATACCTAAAAATATAGTTTACTTCTTATTGTGTTTCAGTTTTAACATTAATGATTATCAGGTTAAGCAGTATTGAGATCATTAAATATATACCAGTACAGCACTGTTTAATGTCCCATAGCATCCACTAGGTGTCTCCAATAACTGGCTTTGAACAGCTATGTCTTTTCTAAAGCTATACATTAACTACTGAGAGGCAAACCACAGAGGCATTTGGATCTTCCTGTAAAAATTTATATTTTTCAAAGCATAAGAAGTTCTTTGGTAAGCATATAAAACGAAAAGGACTTACATTCAATATCAAGGTACATGCTCTTTTGGTGCCCGCCGATTCTACTCGCAGCTTCACAGTCGTATCTTCCTGAATCGGACAACTTCACATCTTTAATCTGCAGGGATGAGCTTCCGTGCTGCCCTTTGACTTCCAGACGGCCGTCTGGGCTCTGTTTATATCGAGTCGGGGGAAAAAGAAAGATTTTATGTTTCTTTTGTGTAAAATGATGACAAACACACGGCATTTATGATATACTCAGAGAAACATTAGGTTTTGGGGAAAGAACACACACACACACACACACAATTGAATGCTGGTAAGAATTCATTTTGTTTCCTGTTTGTGATTTACTAGAGGCCCAAGGCATGAAGATTCCTGCAAGAATGGGCTTTCCTTCCCCTGGCTGCCTGAACAGCCTTTGCTCTGGCCAGCGCTGTTTTTCCACTCTGGCCTGAAACCACCTTTCCACTCCAGTCCGGAGCTGCCTTTCCACCTTTCCACCTTCCCATGCTGCCCAGATGCCCTGAGTGGCTGTGGCGGTGCAGCACCGATGTATGCAAATTAACCCACCATCTTTGTTGAGTTATTTTGCATACACATTCCTGATTGGCTATGGACGTTGCAAAGGTATGGTCAATTAGCATGTTACTCTTTTATTAGTGTAGGTAATTTCTAGCTTATTCATTTTACCTGTCCAAGTGCTTGCAGGGAGACTGACAGTAGGAAAACTTACACACATATTTTAGCAATATCTTTTACTTAGTATGCTCTTTTCTCTTTAAAAAAAAAAAAACTTCCAGGAAAAGTTTTGTTGGCTTCCAATTGTGTTCTTTGCAAACATAACCACACAATAACAATGCCTTCAATTCTGCTAAAACCTAAAAATAAAAATGATATGCCTATGGCACTTCAGTTTCATTCCACCACGTAAGGAGAACATATCAAGGCTTATGAAAATAAAAGCCTTCAGGAAATTATAGTTTTCATTTTTGAATAAAAGCAACAGTACTGTTCATAAGCATAATTAACAACAGATGCATGATAGACAAAATATTAAGACATAGCACTATCAAACTCCCTTTTAGGGATTCAGTGGAAACTATATGAAGATGATTAATTACTTACTCTGTGAATATTGACTCAAATAAGGGAACTGCTTATAACCCAATACTCTATAGATTATATTTCAAATGAGAATTAATTATTGTGTGCAACAAAATCAGCAAAGCTAGAAATGTCTTAAATCATTTAAATACATTTATGGGACACACATTGAACCATAGATCGTTTCTTCATTGAATTTTACTTCATACTGTCAGAAAATATATTGAGTTGTTAGCATTTTATAATGTATTTGAAATATACTGTAACTATTATTGGTTCAGTTGTTTTCAATATTTGAGGTTTTAGTGCCCCATAAATTATTTATGCCATATGTATTATAATATATGTATATTATGTAACAATATGATAGTTGTTTAATTTTCTATATGACTGAAATTCAATTAAATTTTAATAGATTCATGTACTTTATATTACTAAAATGTGGCATTTAATAATGTTTCTTTATAAATACCAAAAGACTATTTTAAAGTTCTTTCAAACATCAAGTTGATTGGTGCAGAGTACAGTTACTTTTTCACTTTTTAATTTTATACAGGCATGCAGTCACTCAATTTATTTATTATCTGAAAAAAATAGTCTTCAAAAACAAAGATAAACATACTAGCAATGCTTTATGCAACGTACATCAGGATTTCTAGGCCAACCCTATGTTCCCCACTCCCGAGTATTGCTAAAAAATAATAAGGTGAGGTATTCAAGCAGGAGGACCTTCCCTTCTGCCAACTTTTTACATGTTCAACTGCCAAGTTCATTTACTTAATTGAGAGAAAAGGAAGTTGGAAAAGCCAAACTTCACGAAAGTTTAACTCAGAATGAATAAACCCAAAAGCAAAATGGCACCTGGCCGGTGTTGCTCAGTAGTTGAGCACTGATCTATGAACCAGGAGGTCATGGTTAGATTCCCAGTAAGGGCACTTGCCCAGGTTGCGGACTCGATAACCAGCTTGGAGTGTGCAGGAGGCAGCTGATCGATGATTTTCTCTCATCATTAATGTTTATATCTCTCTCTCTCTTCCTTCCTCTCTGAAATCAATAAAATATATATATATATATTTAAAAAAACATACCCAAATTGCCCATTTGTTATACAGGTAAATTAGCTTCAATAACCACTTGGGTGTTCTTTGGGGATTCTTTGGTCCTTCCCTCATTGCACCTCTGTCCACCACTGGCCCTAATGGAGCTATCCTTTCTTCCTTATGCACTGACTGCCCTTGGTTTTCAAAAACCTGCACTTCAATTTCTCCCCGTTTCACCTCTCTGACTACTCCTTTCTCTCAGCTGCAGTCTTCTCTCTCCCTGTGATCTCTGCATTCTGTCCTGGATTCTGTTCTCCCTTCAGTTAATATGCTCTGCTCAGTCACATCTACAGGGGTGACCTTTAGCCACTCTCTCTCCAGCCAGAATTTCTCTTTCCCTGGAGTTTCAGAGCCAGATATCTCACTCCCAGGGCTCTGCCCTCTGACATGGGTCTCAGTTGGCATGTGCAGACCTGAACACATCACCCCCTCACCTCACATCGCCTGTTCTCCCCGCGGACTTTCTTCCCATGAAACATACCAATTATTTCCCATGACCCATGCCATACCTGTCCTCAGTCTTGGGTCAGTTTCTGAATCTTTATCTATGTGTATTCCCAATTAAGAGAACTCACAGCTGATCATCTTGTTCCACATTATCATTTCCAATCGTCAGCAGTTGTGCTTAGTAGACCTATCTGTTCTGTGCTTTTCCCATTTACAGTCTCAGTGGTGCTGCTGCATTGAAAGGATACTGACAGGCGTCTCAGCTTTTCAGAGAGAACAATCACACTGAGGCTGAATGTGACCGAAAAAGACTCCCTGACTCTGCAAAAGTCATCAACATTAAGCTATTTTCTATATTTCTCTCGCAAAAAAGAAATCATTCCAGCTGCAGAAATTATTTCTTATGAAGCTCAGAATGTTTAAAAAAAACCAAAAACAAACAACTTTTAATTCTTATAACAACTTCATAAAGGTTTCACATCCCTTGTACTCTGTAATCAAAAATAACATTGTAGATTCCCTTCCAAATAGGACTCCTACCCCTCAGCCTGAAGCCAAAGGATTTCCATATGGCACTACTTTCCTGTTTTAGCACACTTTATAATTTGGATGCTATTTGAATTATTTGTACTGTCATGGATCCCCTGTGTTTTCCATAAGTATCCTTCTTTAAAGACCTGTATTAAGTTAGTCCCCTTTTATCCCTTCCACATTTAGACAGCAGGATTCTATCATCATTCCTTTATAGTTTTTGGCCAACTATCAATTTATATTCAAAATAGTTCCTGGCTATGTTGTTGTTGTTGTTATTATTATTATTATTATTATATATTTTATATTTTATTTATTCTATATTCTATTTACTAGTATATTATATATTATTATCTATTATTTATAATTATTTCATTGAGGTTTGTGCTTTTCTTGGGACACTACCTTTTTTCTAGTTTTGTTGAAAATTCACTTATAGGATGATATTATAGTTGAACAAACATGAAAAGATATTTTTGGCACTTGATGTGAAAGTCACTTTGACTAGTGCCAAGGACCGAACCATTCTATTCTAATATTATTATGAAGTACATTGAGTTATGGTGAAATTTACATATAATTTGAGAAAATAAAATGTAATCACTAAGCCATTATTTACTTTGGATTAAAAACTTGAGTTTATCATATTTATTAGAATGTGAAAAATACCTTATTAAAAGCAAATTCTTCATTTTTCCATTCAGAAATAGTATTTTTCTTTTGTAGTATTGAAAGGTAATATCTACCTCCACTGAAAACTACACAGTGTTAAATGACAAATTTTCAAGTTGTGCAAAATTATTTGTGTCTATAAAAACTAGCAGTCTATTAGTAAAAGCGTTGGTATTTAACAGTTATTATTGATAAATATAAAATTATTAATAAAAAAATTCTAGAAGAATAGAATTTCTTTAGGAAGATGCGTGATTCCCTGGGTAATTGTAAGTCATTTTCAGACTTGTCATTGTCTTTATAATACTGCACAATATGCATTAGTCTCAACTACTTCCACTGAAGAGCAAAGTAATTCCTTCTCATATCTGACATTCCAAAAGACATCTCTCTCCTGGTGCTGTAAAAATGCATTACCCATTTCTGAAAGAAAATTCATTTATATCTTGGCTTTGATTCTCCACCAACTTAAGGTTCATTTAAGACACCTGGTTTTTGATTGAGACATGTTAATAGATATATTAGCAGTCCATCTAGTATTGTCAGCTTCTTCCACTGTATTAGGTAAGATGATTAAAAAAGTAAAGTGTTGCCGAAACCGGTTTGGCTCAGTTGTAGAGCTTGGTCTGCAGACTGAAAGGTCCCAGGTTCTATTCCGGTCAAGGGCATGTACATTGGTTGTGGGCACATCCCCCATAGGGGTTGTGCAAGAGGCAGCTGATCAATGTTTCTCTGTCATCGACGTTTCTAGCTCTCTATCTCTCTCCCTTCCTCTCTGTAAGAAAAATCAATAAAATATATTAAAAAAATAAAAAAAATAAAAAGTAAAGTGTCTGATTATACATTATTATTTTAATCCTTTACAGAAAGACACTCTCTGAAATCTGATTTGAGTTATATTCTTTGCCTTTCCAGAAGATCAGTTTAAAAACTGCTTATTTGAATTGTATTTTCATATTTTTATAAAATTATTATTTATAGGTTATTGTCCTTTTAATAATAAAATAACTATGTGATAAGTACTTTCCTCAGTTTAGTGTCTGTGTGAATATTTTCTTGACACTTTTGATTGTCAGACATTTAAAATTATATAATGCATAGTTTACAGATGTGTTTATTTGTAATCTTACCTGACGAGACAGTGTTGCCAAATTTAGAATCCCATTGTAGTACACAACATATTGGAGGTGGAGGCATTCCCTACCTTTCTTCTTCCTTACACTCATGTCTTTGAACCTTTCTGTAGTCATTGATGCCCCCCCCCCACCACCACCTTTATGGCTTTTTGAGAGAACTGTGGATCATGTCACTTACA